TAGAACAAAAACTAATAAAATTAGCTGAGGCAGGTACTGAAAACCTGATTTAAACCATCTAATATGACGAAAGATGCTTGTATCTTAGTCATTAACATAGAGATCTGCAGCAACAGGGTTTGATAGAGCTTTGACGTTTTTCAAGGAAATTTTGTCCAAGAAAAAATTCAGATCAGAACACTACTAGATGCGGCGGGAAAGGAACCAGTATTTCCTTAACAATTAAAAATCTGTGAGATATTTTGGCATGCCGCTTACTGTCTGAACGGTGAATTGCGACTTATGTGCAAGAGCGATGATAGAACAGACAGTTATTGATGGATATATCGGGAAAACAAGAGTAAGTGACGTGAATCTGGATGGTCGAAATTTAATAAATCCGGAGTAAAAGTATGGTCGAAACCTGGAAATGTCCCTATCCGTCTTCATAAAAAACGGATGACATCGGTAAAAATCGTAAGTCCTCGTTGGTTCCTGATGTTCCAATGCAACAATGAAAAAGTCGCACCAATTCAGAGCTTTGGCCGACCAAGGTCAAGCAGTATCAGAGAATACTACACATTCCTCACAGCCGTTATAATAATTCTTTCTGAATAATATCAACCAGGTAATTCGCCATAACCAATTATCCTTAAATGATTTTGAATCAAAAATCCATAGTTAACAAAGTCAAACATCACGTAAATTAACTAGCTAGCGGCTAAACAAGTTCGGCATGACAAGTAGTGTCTCAAGTTTTATTACCTTTCAGTACCTACATCTACTTTCTATTCCTTTTATGACCTTATCTGATTGAGGACAAATTTCAGAAGAGAACATGAATACCTATAATTATAAGCACAGAGATTTGGCTAAAGAAAGAGCTAACGAAATTAAATTGACAAACAGTTTAGAAGAGATAGTCCCTGAAATAATACAAACACAAGTCATGGAGGAAAATGTGAACATTCATGATTTCCTGGTGAGAAAATCGACAGCGCAGTCGAAGATAAATCCCTTTAAAAAACTAATTCGACCAAAATATACGTAAGCAATTTCTAAGGCTCATACCGATATCGTGCCGTAGATGACTTGAAAGTGATAGGTTTTCTGATTCCATGGTTAGCAGTGCGACAAACAAGAAAAGTCGTTTTATTTACAACAATTTCAACGTTTCAACCGAATTATATCAGTCATCATCAAGGAATGAACACGAAACAACGACAAACTGCTGAGTCAGTTGGTAATTGACTCGACTGGCTGGACACTAGCAATGACACATGCTCCATTCCTCGGCATGAGCAACCTGAGCCCAGAAGACATTATTTAATTAATTTAATAACTTGCAAAGTCTATCTTAAATCTGATAATGTAATGCACAAACAGCGGTGCGGTATCTCGATGGGTTCTCGTTTTAGTGTGGTCTTAGCCTCAATCGACATGAATTATCTGGAGTTCATTCCCCTATATCTCTGTTCACATCACCTCGAGCCGATACTATATTTAAGATATGTAGATAACATTTTTATTTTGCATAATAATCCAAACCACTTTCACCTACTGCATGAACATTTAAGCAACCAAGATCCTAATAATGTCACAAAATTCACTTCAGAGCATGAACAAAGTAACTAAATGACGTTTCTTGGCATTCTCATTAAAAAAGACGCCTTTGGTACTTTCTCCTTCACAGTATATAGAAAACCACAGCATTCTAACCGATATCTTAACACTTCATCCTACAGTCCCAAATCTGTTTTTATTAATATCATTTAATGCATGCGTCATATGGTTTTAAACTATTGCAGTGATGACCGACGTTTAAAGGATGAAATCAAGCACCTTTCATCTACTTTCCTTTAAAAAGAATATGCCGAATATTTAACTGATTCGGCATTTAAATGCTCCAAGTTTGGTCAAGTCCCTTTCTTCTGATTGTAATTCCCCATTTCGATACCATATGCATCAAGCATATGTGAAGAAATTAGACGTTATATAAAAACCTACCGTCTTAATGTATTTTTCTGCAGGGGCAAAACTTTAGGAAACCTATTGTGCAAAAAGCTTGATCTTCACCCCAGCCTGGAGAGTGAAAACGTGGTCAATCAGATAGCTTGCAATAACTGTGACCGGATGTATAGTGAAAAGACCTGTCGAGCGTTAAAAACCAGATTAACGGAGAACAGAAGAGCCATCAGCTACTGGAACGCTGATTATTGTGGTTTTGTTGCTAATTCCCTGGAGAATAGTTAGGATTGTAACAATGGCGATGGTACGGTTGTTGATCGACCCCGGGACAAGCTGAAGTTATTAATCAAGGAGTCGCTACCCGTCGCTGCCGGTAGATAAAACTGACAACGGTTGCGTTGGCTCTATTGACGTTTCCGCAGAGTGGAGCAAGATTCATGGCTTAATCGGAGACCGAGCGAGCGCCCAGCCAATCTGGTCAATTACCAGCTGACTGAACAGTTTGTCGTTGCTTCATGTTCATTCTCTGATGATGACCGATGAAATTCAGTTGAAACGTTAGAATAGTCTTAAATAAAAAGATTTTTCTTGTTTCTCGTGCTGCCAACTATGGGATCAGAAAACCCACCACCTACAAATGTAAGCGTTAACAGTTTATACCAAACCTAAATGTTTACTGATATAAATTCGTCGTGCAAGTGAGATTCGCTACTGTTTCAACGACTGTCTTGTCCATATCTTCAGCGCAGATGACACCGAGCACGCCGTTGTTTCGAACGAACAGGAAACCGTTGCTACTAAATAGCCGGCCGTCAAACATCATGCGTACCTGGTCTTCTGACGGGACGAGTTTCACTGTAAAACAAGTTTCAGCGATCAAATAGTTTCTGATGAAATCAGAATATGATATATACAACAATGCGATTCGTCGTCCTTGAACGGACAGTCGTCATGTCCATCGCAAACTTTGTTCAAATTCACACACTGGCCACCATAGCATATGAAGTCGTTTTCGTGGCAGTCGGCTAAAGAAACAAGATTTCATCAACAACGACAAAAGTTCATCACAACAAACAGATGTTCGTGGCTAAAGAACAGATCATCGTCCATGAACCAATCGCTAAAACACACCTGATGAAGACGCAAGACACGGGCACAAACGCCGCGTAATTTTTCACTTCGTAACGTCCTATAAATGCATACTGGCATCCGCTTGAGCGCAGAAGCTAGAACCATAAACACCATAGGCTTCATTTTTATCGTACGGGCAGTAGAATATAGTGCTTCGGCTTACTCCGGGAAAGTTCATTCAAACAGAGTGGATGCTCAGTTAATCTCAACGATGCTGACGATTGCAAGAACGGTTACGAACTCCAAAATGCCATAGATTACCGTCTTATCAGACATCCATCCTTGAAGCTTTCGACAAAATCGCACATGTTTGATAAAATGAAAAATCGCAGGCAGAAATATTTCAAAAGAACAGGGTAAAGCCATTTTCCTCTTTCGTTCATAATTTTCATGGATTGCATCAGCACATGTAGCCACAACTTCATAGGGCGACTGAGTGTTTTGCTGTTTACAGAGGCTCATTTCGCTCAATGACGAGCTCTGCCCTGAATTGGACCGTTTCTCTGCCACGTGCGATGAGGTGGGAATGAAAATTAACCTGACCAAAATCTAAGACCATAACTCTCGAGAATGGTTCACGTCACTGTGTTAAGCACGCAACGTCAATGCAAATAGAACAAGTAACTCAAGTATCTCAGAACATGATTCAAGGGTGATTGACAGACACATGTGAAGGTAAACGCAGCATCCAGGAATCGCAGTAATGTAGGACCTAATCCGGCTTATGGTGATGAGTATGAGTCGACTGCAGCATTATCCCGTCCGTCTTTACGTCTGTATGCCTACTTCCTCTCGCGTGAGTGCCGCACATGGCTCCAAAGGCATGATCCCTGTGACCAGCCAAAAATGTTTTTAGAAGGATTGCCAGTATGGCGAGGCTTGCAATGATTCAGAACAAGGAAATCGGGCATAGACTACACTTTCAGCCACTCCTCGAGATCAAGGGACTGCAGCTGCGATGGTCTGAACATGACATGTGACCATAACGCTGCAAAAATAGATGCACAACAATCGGCACTCTTGGTAAAATGACAAGAAAGAGCGCCCATGAGCGAATTGCCAATAAACATTTCGGAAAAGGATGTATACACAAAAGAAAATATGAAAATTCACCTAAAAGTGAATGTGGAATGGACAATCAAACTACATATTTTCTCATTTTGGAGACGAATGTCTGCATGACCACGCCATGGTTCAACAGAAGTGCAAAAAATGTTAAGTCTCTACGCGCCTTTTTAACTTAAGCTGAGAACTCTTAAATTGGTTCTAAATGTCATAGAAACACGAAGAATACGCTTTCTTATGCGGTGGCATTCATATCTGAAAGCACAATTTCCACATACCATTACGCATGTTCGCGTATGAACAATAATTTCTGCAACAAACTGAAATTCTGAAAGTGCAAATGAACAAGTAAGGACTATGCCGAATTTGTTAATGGAACGAAACTTCAGCAGATGCATAACCTGTTTTCCAAGAAACGTCGAGGTACAATGATACACACGTTTTTCGTACCACAGTTTAGTTCATCCGTTTGATCAACACAGTCGATGACTTTGTCGCAATTTTTCTCTGGTGCCAAAGATTTCATGAGATCGTAGCAACCTAAAATGGGCCTGATACTTATAGTTATCTGTAGCGTCAGAGCAGTGCAATTACGGCAGTCTTCTTCATCGCTGCCGTCCAAGCAGTCGGTTTTCCCGTCGCACCATGCATGCTTTTCGTAGCATTGTGAACTTGCGCAAGCTCTCTGGTGCGTTTTGTCGCAATCTATACGGCAATGATGCAGAAAATAAAGTTTGAATGACTGTTTAATTTATATTGTACTTGGGTAACACTTCGGAGGTTCATCTGAGGAATCAGCGCAATCCACCTGGCCGTTGCAGTATTTTGACCATGGCACGCAATATGAACCATTACCACCGCATCTGAACATGCCTAGGCTCTCGCAATCTAGAAACAGCTATGCAGTAAATCCAGCAATTCAGAGACGGCCACTACCGACCGCAGCCAAGTTCGTCCTCGTTTCGAAGACAGTCGATAAACCCGTCGCAGACACGACTATGATGGAGGCACCCGCTTTCGCCGGTTTCTCGTAAAACGCACACTTTCTCCCGAAAGCCGGGGGGACAAGCTAAAAGCAAAATGACTAGAACCGGTGCCTCAAAATCCACGATACACTACGCTATACGTACTGTTATAGCAATATTTCGATTCGTCGCTATTATCACCGCAGTCGTTGTTGCCATCGCACCACTTGGCCACTTGGACACATTTGCCATTATTACACGGGAATCTATCCAGTGCACATGCTAAAGAACAGCACCATGATCAACGTACAGGATAGAGAGCAGAGAGTCACATACTGCAATTCTGCAATTCATCGATGCCATCTGCACAATCGAAAACTCCATCGCAGACGTTTTCTACCGGAATACAGATTCCTGGCTGACATTCAAACTGCAGATCCTTTATGCACTCTTAAAAAATGATGCTGCTCAAAAATACAACAAAGCTTCTCGTCACAGGCTACGTAAATTTCAATAAAAACGTGTACGTGCGTCATTCGAACGGTTTGGATAGCGTAATGACATCGCCTACACCAGGGATGCACTGACAACAAGCATTCGGACTTCGACAGGAAAACGACGCAGATCCTTTCACTACACAGCATGGAATCAAAACTACAGCTCAGACTTAACTTCCGGTTCAAAACACCGATATGGCATTCCAATAAAGGAATCGCGAACAGCTCTACAGGATTTCTTTATTACATCATAGCAAACGTTCTTAAGCGTGAACAGCTCACACAAACAAGATAGTTGAGTTTCAGCCGTTGCCGATCCCAAGCCCGGAAGAGAAAAGAGGAAGGTTGGAGACTGTGGCGAAGTCTAAGTAAAAACTTAGAAACCTGCCCATCATCGCATTGACGTCATCAACAATTATA